ACTCAGCACCTTCTGCCCCCCAAACTACGTGGTTAAGCCTCATGTCTCAACTCAGAGGACAGGAACCCTGTGATTTTTCCAGTCTGAGCTTAAACATCTTAGGGGGTTTGTATCTAACTCACACACTCTCTTTCTGCAACTGACTTTTGTGGCCATCTCCTTACCCAGTCATTATGGTAAGGTGATCCTGAAGTGAAGTTGTTTGGCAGTTAGTTGTTTTGTAGCTCAGTTTTAAACAATTAACCCCCTTCCCCAAATAGCTCCAAATTAAACACTTTTAAATATGGTAGGCACTAAACTGGATTTATTCTCTAATTCTAGCCTGCTGCTATGCTGAAGGAGTCACTTTTAGAGTAAAATTACATGCTGTTTTGGCAATTTATAAAAGCCATGGACTTTTCTGGGGCTGATACTACCAGGGTGGCACTGTTAGACCAGGCTGTTGTTTTTCCCTGGAGCTGCCAACCTCTATGGGCTTACCTTGTGTTAACAGAGACAAGTCCCTCTCCCCAGGTGCCATGGTTAGCTTTTCAGAATGCTTCATTCTTTTTTCTGCATTGTGTTCCATTTCTTCAGTTTCTCTGTAGTTCCTGGTTTTCTTGTCAGCTCCCTCTCTATTCCTTGAGACCTACTTTTTTTTCTTTTTGTCCTTCACTAAATTGTTATTTTATAGGTATATCAATTCTAGGTCCCAGAGAGGTTGGATTTTGCTGCTGGCCTTTACTCTGTGACTTTTAATACTATTTTCTTCTTATATATTGTCTTATATCTTAGTTTCCTGGGCCCTCTCTTGCTCTTTGACTTTAGGCCACTCTATGGGCCCCCAAATATATGACCTTTGATCCACTTCATTCTATGCTGCTGCCTCTTCACTTTGTTTTATCAGAATGAACTGTCCCTGTGCTCCATTTTCTGGAGGGAAATGGGTAATACTTGAGAAATTAAATAAAAGTCCATGTCCTGAACAAATTATTCCATAAGTCTTTTTTATTTCAATTATGGAAAGAGCCTCAAAGAAAGAAATCAGAAGTCTATTGAAACAGATATTTCTAATCATGAGTCAGAGAGATTGGAGAATTATTTCCATATTTCACAAAATGTGCATGCTATTTTCTAGAGAGTAAAACTTGGCACCCTGCTCCACTAAAAATCTGATTAATTGTAAGTATTAAAAAAAGTATGACGATGATAAGTAATAACTATTATGTCATTGGAATTTATAAGTACTTTCACATATATGATCTCCTAGATTTCTACTTTAATTTATATTTTATTGTACAGCTGAGATTCGAAAACATTACATACCTAACTTGAGCCTTTTAACTTTAAACTTCTTTGCCCTCTTACTAGACTTTTGTGAAATCCTTGATTCTCTAAATTTGTGTTTTTCTTCTGTTCCATTTGGTAGGTTTTCTTTTGCCTGTTGTTTTGTGTGGCAGGGGGTGTTAGTTTTGTTATTTTCAGTGGTGACCATCAAACCCATAGCCTTAAGCATGCTAAGCAAGTCCTTTAACACTGAGCTATACCTCCAGTTTCAAATTGTGTTCTTGAAGGAATAATTATTTTCTTTCCTTTTCTGTATAACTTCTTGACAACTATAAACTTAAGAGTTTGATTCTGCCCCTAAATAATGAATTGCACTTTATGTCTACTGAAGATTGTCCTGCTGTTAATAAAACATTTTACACACCAATCTTGCCTAGAAAATTTGCTTTGAAATTCTTCATACCAGAGCAGACATCTAAGGACACTATGAAACAGTTGAAATCACTGATCTTTAATGATAAGTATATTAAGTCATTATTCCAAATATGACTGTATTTATTGATTTAGGGCTTTAAGTAGTTTGATCTAGTTGTGAGGTTCACTTTCAGAGCTGTGTGTGTGTGTTTGTGTGTGTGTGTGTGTGTGTGTGTACAAATGTGCATTAGTTGGACGTGGATAGTAGAGGAGAGAGTGATTTGGGTATAAAGATTTTTGGAAAATATCAACCTTTCTGTTTTTAGCTATAAAAGAATACTCTGTTTTCCAGATTTGGTTGCTTCTTTTTACATTAGCACAACCCAGCAATGATGGTGATTTTAAGAATTTACATTGGAAGATGACTGATTCATAATTTGATTAAATCACTTATGGTATTTTCACATAAAAACAATTAATAAGAGTTGGAAATGTTCTAATTTAAAAACCAGTGTCTGCCCAAGAAAAACTTACTTCTCCATGGGTTTTCATGTTATTATGACTAGAATAGGACATAGAATAGGACACCTTCTAAATACCTAACTGAATGATAGATCACAATGGTGCACAGGGATGAATGTGTTATGTAAATACTACACTCATCCCTAGCATGTGCGGGCACACATGGGCATTGGTTGGGTACAGATGGTAGAGTGATGAGTGGTTTGGGTATAAGGCTTATTAAGGCAGGCATGTGCTTTATTGATATGAGGAAACACTTCCTCCAATGTTTCTTTTAGGGTTGAATGCCAAAAAACACGTTTTTAGATACTAGAGCAAAAGTAATTTTACAATCTCATTAATCTCATTTAAGAAGTAGGATTAAGATTTAAGAGGTAAGATTGGAGGCCCTATTGTTTCACCACCAGCAAGAAATACCTGTGATTTTTTTCCAGGAAAAAAAAAAACATGAAAAATGCATTTCTTCATGAATAGCAGTATAGTCTCTAAACTGAAGTAGTTTTGATCCTGGGGGCTTTTAATACACTGAGGTGTTTGAACTGAGTGGGCAAACATGTCCTAATAAAAAATTGGAAAAAAAATAAAATGACAAGCTGCTGCATATTGAGTCTGTGAACACAATGTTTTTGTCACAATGTTTTGTCAAACTTTGAAAATTGATTAGTAATTTTACCTTTTTCTCTCAAGAAAGTAAAAATAAAAGAGGAAAAGCCTATATCCCTTCTTTTGAACAAAGGATTAGTTCCCTGAATATAGTCCATCACATAAGCTCACAGGTTGCCTTGATCCCAAGATGTGATAGTTAATTGTGGTGTCAACTTGAATAAAAAAGTATCTGGCTGATTGGCTTAGCATAGTTCTGGGTGTGTCTGGATAATGGAGTTACTAAAGAGAGAAGACCCACACTGGGTGTTGGTGGCACCAGCCAATAGGCTTGAAACCTGGATGAAATAAAAATGAAGAGGAGGAGGTATGGCTTCAGCTTCTTTGGAGGAGCTCATCTTCACCATCATCTTTGAACATTCATCTCCAGACTTCTAGTGCAGGCTCTTCTGCTTCCTGATATGGACTCACGCAGGACTCTGTAGTGATTTCCAGGCTTTTGACTTTTGAGTGGATCCTTGGATCTCCAACATGCAGACATCCCTTTGCATTCTTCCACATCTGACTCTTCAGGCAGCCATTGTAAGCCTACCTTGTAAAATAT